ATGTATATATATATATGTATATATATATGTATATATCCTGCGTCGTGCATCATGTAGTGTACATGGGGTAACGAGGGGCGATCAGCCTTTCACGACCACCTTCCGATCAGCAAACGCTTGGTCGGCAGAAAATCAAACACCTGTATGTATGCTAGTATGCATGTATACGTATGTATGTTTTTATATATATATATCTATATATCTATCTATATATATATATATATATATATATATATAGATAGATATATGTGTTTGATTTTCTCCTACGCGTTTGCTGATCGGAAGGTGGTCGTGAAAGGCTGATCGCCCCTCGTTACCCCATGACTGAAAAGTTGCCCAAAAAAACCGCACAGTGTTTGTCCGACTTTAAAGTACTTTCAGAAGTTTGTATTCTGAATACAACCCCCCACCCCCCCAGCAGACTAACACCTGAATGAAATCCAGCAGGTTGTAACTCGCCAGCTGGAGGCTTTGACGAGTTAACTCTACACATTCCTTCCTCATAAGAATTGTCATGCTCTAAGATTTCATCAAGTCTCGTTTGATAGCTCGCTTGTTAGGCTGATTTTCTCTCAATGTGGGAATAATAATTTAGGTATCTCATGTTTAACTAGCTTTACACTGAATACCACTCAGTGGGAGAGAGAAGATGAGATCAAACAGCAAACATCACCTTTGCAAAAATTTTGTTGTTGAACTGATTCCTGGTGGCCTTGTTTTTTTTTTGTTTTTTTTTTGCAGCTTAGACCAAGAACTTTTTTTATGCTCCAGAGTCACTTTCACAAGGCCTCACCCCGACATGCCAAGCAGTAGCCACACTGAATCACTCAGGGTGTGTTGCAGATTGAGAGCATTGTTGTGCACAGTTGATGTGGTCATTGTTCTCGTTGAATTAATACGCTGTTAAAGGATGACGCAATGGCCTTTGGGTTGGTAGCTCTGGGAATCATTTTCCCGTTGAGTTAGTCTTTCATCCCCTGAGCAGCGTTTGTGTGCAGTAATGTTACTGAACGGTCCTTGGCTGAGCTGTAGCCCCATCCTGACAGTAAAACCTTATCATTTTGTCACAACTAGAGGGAGGACTTTGATATTCTAGTTTAAATCAGTGAAACTGTAGCTGCTTACCAAAGGTTTGTGTGTTCGGTGAGGCCTTTGGACCCTGTGGAGCAGATAAAGGGTATGAGCTTGGTTCTGTTCTGCCACACGGATAACAAAGTTTTCCGATTGCTGCTCTGTTAAAGACGAAGTGCCATAGTTAAAGAAATCCAAGAAATCAGAGCCATGCAGAGGAGATCATGAATTTATCCTGGTAAGGGAATCCCTCGTTGTGTTGTATTGAGGATGTTAAATTCTATGTTGTGCAAACTTAAAGGTTAAATTCTATTTTG